GGAAAGTGCTCTGATGGACGATATTCCGCAGGGAAAATCGTTAGAGACGTCTGGAGCGGCCATTGGCTGCAGTTTGCGCATTACCAGGATCCGTGAGCCTTCGCTTGATTGCACTGGGCAAGGCATAAAGCCCGCCCAGATTAAAAATACTGCTGAGCTGGCACATGCGAGCAGAATTGTGAGGTGCTTATTTGCTGTGGCCGACGCCATCACGAAGGCCGAATTAAGGAGTGCATATCGATACCAGCTCGTTCAGGAGTTTGCTTGGACCAAACAAGCGCAGAGCGGTTGACTGGTTGGCCGCAAGCCGTGTCGAGTGGTTCTGTTTAGCGTGGGATGCTGGGCAGACCTCAACGCCGACCTGTCAAGTCTTCGCATTGCATCGTTCCGACACGCATCGCCGCAAGCCATGGTGAGGTTGTTCCGTGCCGTAGACGCCTAGTTCCATCGTGGTACATGTCTCCTGGCGTAGCCTAGCTTCCCATTCGCCGTGCTAGTCGCATCGGTTGGTGAAGCTTCGCCTGCTCCCCAAGGGCCCATGGAGCAGCCCATCATCTATCCTCCCTGCTCTTTTACCACCAATAATTCGCTATACCGCCGCCAGCATGGTTCTAGGTCAATGTGGCTCGCTACCTAAGCTGCCAGCATCTTAGCCCTCAGGAGACACATTCCTGTGCCGTTGCTGGTGCTGCGGCTCGCGATCGGTACAATTATTATTCAACGTTGCCGAAACTACAACCATTTCTTCGTGCAGCATCACCCCGGCCCCACTGCTTCGTTTCCTAGTACGTGAAGAAAACCTTCACCGTCATTCCTCGCTGCAAGTGCCTAGCCTCCAAGCATCCGCAAGTCGACAGACCTCGTCCCTCCTCCGCTGCAGTGACCCCCCTCCTCGGTACCTGCATCCTCAAGGTCTCACAACGCTGGCATATCCCCGGCTCTCCCTGATCGAGCGTACTACGCTGCACGTATCACAGCTTCATCGCTCTATCCTAATCTGCGTCTTCTAGAGCACGCCGGCAGACGACCAGAAATCTCTGCCAGAGCGCCGCTGTCTTCACCCTCTGTCGTCCCCCTCGAGCGCCTCCAACCCCCGCCGCCGCCGCCGCCGCCTAATATTGCTCGCTACATGGTCTGTAGGGCAGGAACACTGTGTTACTGGGCTTGCTATGAGTTCTGGTCAGCATATATATGGGTAAGGGCTCCCTTCTACCTGGTTTACCCTTCCATGTGTCCCCTCAATCAAGTCCTTTGGGAGAGCATATACCGCCGCTGGGCCGGTGCAACGAGCCATTCATGATGAACAGCTCAGACACTGTATGTCTTCTTCTGCCTACTGGCATGGTCGAATCTGCTGTGTGGTTGTTCCAATTGCGGTTGGGCCAGGCAGGAGCAGTAGGCAGCACCGCACGGTTGTCATCTGAAGCTCAATGCCACCGGCCCAACGCATCCCCTCAAAACTGCATTCCAGCACCACTTTGCAGATTCTTTCCCAGAGAAACTTTTTCCTCTGATTTCATTTGCATCTTTCTTGACCAATTGCACAATTCCGACACATACTCTGCTTTGCATGCTACATCCTCCCATTGTTCAAGGCTAATGTGGGTCTCGTGCTAGATCGACGGACTGGCATCTCCCAAGTCCCTCCTCCACACCCAAGTCTGTGACATTTCCGGAAGCGAGTCTGAAGACGCCGAAGACTGAGGCTTTCCCTCAGTCACACTTTCTCGAAGCCTGGTCGACCCCCCGAGTCAATGGACAATACACCCCTGTTCAGACACCATCTTTTACATTATCAACGCCTATAGACCGGCCGTCGAGTTCATACAGCCAAACGGTCCGCACCCCTGAGGATCCAGAATTTCATGTCAACCACTTCGCTCCTCAGAACCTTCCTTTGCCACCAGTGGAGGTGTCTCGTAGACTGTCCTCCTCGCCAGATCCAAATCAGTTGAAGAGGGCTGACGTTGGTCTATCGCAGGGCCAATTGGGGGAACCACGTCCAGTGAGCATGGATTTCTCGCAGATGCAGACTCCGCCCCCAACAAGGGATGCAACATCGAGGAGAAGCTTGCAACAAAGTGCGGGAAATGGGTTTGCCACTCCAGCTACAGTCATTCACAGGACACCCACCCAAGTGGCGACAACAGAAGCTCTATTCAACCAGACACCCTTTGGCTTCCCAAATATGCAATTCTCGCCAAGCATGATGCCCTTCGCAAACACAGGACCAATGTCCGCGCCGCCTATGCCGCACTCACGTCTGTTTTGGGACCAGCCACATGATGTCACTCAGATGGATATAGATATACCGCTGGCGTCAGACCCCTTTGGTCCCACGCCACACAAGATTGAGCAAAGCATGAATTGGCAGACGTTCAATCCTCCCGCTCCTACTCAAATGAACTCACAGGCTTTCCAACCTCTCCATGAGATGTCGTCCGCTGGCCCTGTTGCATCGTTCACCTCCAGCCATTTGGGAGGAGGCCAAAACTCAAGACCAAACTCATTTGTGTCCACATCCGCTGGCGTGGATCCCACCATGCTCTTCAGCTTCTCCAGCCCCGGGCTAGCTAACTCGTTCGGCAACGTCCCGCAACAGCCTGTGAAGCACGTTAGCTCTAGACAACCATACGAAACTCAGACACGAGATTCAATGCGGGAAAAGGAGATTGCAAAGAAGGCAAAGAGTCAGCACTCCCGCAGTAATACGAACTCGTCGTCAGGCTCAATTGAAAACATCAGACCAGTATTGCAGCGAAGCAATACTGACAGTGGCTTTCGGAAGAGTAGGCCATCATCAATGGAGTCGAGGACTTCAAGTCAGGCTGCAGCTTCGACAATTCCGCGTCGCTCATCACCTTTGAAGCGCCAAAGCGGGGGGTCACTCACATCCATCCCCGAGGTTCGAAGGCCACGAACACGTTTAGTCATTGACGAGACTGGCCGAGCCCGTACAGAGACAGTACCCGCCGACGAGGAGGAGGAGACTCCAAAGGACACGCGGAAAACATCGCAAAAGGACGTAAGACGCCAGTATCCTGGTCTCTGGGAGGACGATGATACTGAATCGGAGGAAGAAGAACCTCCTCCAACAATCAGCCGCAACACCTCATTTAACATTCCGAAGCCGCAACGGCGATCTTCAAAACATGCTAGGTCTGAAAGCGGTGGTCTAGAAAGATCCAATTCGTTCAAGATGCCGCGGCCTGCCTCAAGACCATCTTCGGGTGCCTTTGACAAGGCCTCTTTCGAAACAGTTCGACCCATAAGAAAGCCTGTTGACAATGCAAACCGCCGATTCAGCATGATGGATTTTCCTACGTCGTTCGAGAGCTTCAAAGTGAGCGAAGACCAACACATGCCTGACTCTCCTGGCGACGCCCTGGGAGCCCTGAAGAAGGTGGTTGCCGGTCGACAGCAAAGGATTGGTATGGTGTTTACCAGCTCTCCCGAGTTCTCCACTAACACTTTCAGAACGCGCGTCTCAGAACACGCTGCAGGCCCATAACAAGCGCTGGGCACAGGCTTCCGCCGACATCACCCACACCACCACCCCCCATGGCCACGGCCACTACGATCCCTTCTCCAACTCTTTCAATGCCTCCCCCAACACAGACGGCTTGACGACGCCATCGACCGACCGAAGTAGTCTCTCCAGCGAGAGCACCCGATGCGTTTGCAGCGGTGTCGACGATGGCCAACCTATGGTACAATGCGAGTCCTGCAACAAGTGGCTGCATATGGCCTGCAATGGACTAAATTCAGACAACCTGCCGCCGGTGTATGTATGCGTCTTTTGCACCGGGCAGACGCCAATTGCAAGAGGCGGGAGAGTAAGAGGGCCAGTGCACCTTGAATCGCCGCTTACGCATAAGTCTATGTTCCGCCGTTAATACCTATCCTCAACTTTTAGCATATTAGGAGTTCTCATCTAGCGATTTGGTCCATATTTCTCTCTTCGCAGGTACAGACCGGTAAAACCATCCCCCGATGCGTCAGCAAATCACTTCATGCTCACCTTTCGTGGCTTATATGACCAAAACCAACAGCAACAATCCAATAATCTCGCCGGCCCTCCCCAACAACATTTCCGACACACACATAATCAACCATACAAGAGACCCTCCGCTGGCCCGGATGCCCTGGTAACTAATGTCTTGTCGTTTCCTTCCTTTTGGTGGTGGAGCTTCTGGCGATGTATGTTCTCACGCTCTTTTACGCCGGTTTACGAGTTTGATGACGACTTTTGGAGTTGTCATGATGAGATGTGGTTTATGAAAGACTTTTTGCATACATTTGAGGAGGATTGTGCGTTCATCTGTAAGGGTGGTACCTGCACAGGTTAGATAAGTGACTGGAAGCGGCACAAGAACAATGTATATACATACGTGCAAGACAAACGCCTAGTTTTATCACTTCACACATGCCGATTGCAGTGCCTGCTTTAACAAGTCTGCTAATTCTGAGGCGTTATAAGCATAGAAGGAAACCTCAATACTCATTCCCAGGATACAGTTACGATGTTTTCACGAGCTTAGCACGGCAGACATGATAATGGGCGATACGACTACGGGAGCGCCAGGCTTATTACCCAACTTGTTAGACTGCATCTTCTACTGCCTTGTAGCTCTGCTGGGCCTTATAGCTGAAGTCATTGCAATCTTAGTCCTACGCACTGTTATGCTATTGAATTTTCTGTGAACGACTATATAGTTGCCAGAGTCTTGCACTCCGCGCCATGTCTGAGCGACCATATATGCATTCAAAGGTCCTGTAGTAGCACCAGAATCTAGCAAGAATGAAAAGACCTCGAAGAATTTCGAGGCATACTTCAATTGTCTCGCATCTCCTCCCTATTGTTTGGTGTGCCGCTCTTAGAAGATGTCGCCGTGTTGCTCAGGGCCTGCAACCGCACATCCATACACAGCAGATGAGCAAAAATCGCAGCAGCTCAGAATTTTTTTTGGGCGAGATAAAAAGGTCAAAAGAACAAAAAACGAAGCCCATGGGGATCGAACCCACAACCTTTGGTGAACAAGTTGAAGAAGACAACTGCTGATGTTTTCATACCGAAAACCAACGCGCTACCATTGCGCCAAGGCTCCTATTGTGCTTTTGATGAAAGAATTGGATGATTAAATAGCATATATTGTCCGCTATCCTTTTGACACTATATAGCTTTGACCGTGAAGATCGAGTCTTACTAGTGGGTCCACATCACTCGCATACGGTGGGTATTGGAGGGTTGTGATAAAGTGGGGTTGGTAAGTGGGGTAAACCGGGCTTCTTATGTAACAGGTCGCTTCCACAGCGCAGAGGACTACGATTTGCGTGTCAAAGATTCTCGGTATCCACATACGCGCTTTTTCAGCTTCTTCATCGTGGTTGGTAAGGTCTCGCCTTGGTGATGTTCCTCGATGTGGTGGGAGAAGTGTCGCACTCCTATGGGCGTTGGAGTTTCAACCAGCCAGGGCTGCTTTGCAAAGACTTGTGTATCACGATAAAGACATAGCTTGCATTGGGGCGCCACTCAAGTTGAGGATAGCGAGGCATCGGCGGGGACTGGCATGTAATTTCAGACATGTTCTCACTTGTTTCACGTCAATCAAATCGGCAAAGGTTGTGGAACTCTTGTAGAATTCGTATGCTATCTGTGCTCAAAAAACGCCTGCCATGGGGGTATAGTATGCTCAACCTAGTAGATCCGTTTTCGTTTCTAAGCGAGTGTGCGTCCGCCGCATATGGACAGGGAAGGTAGACAGTAAATGAAAAAAAGGTACAAAATGCTGTAACAAGGCCCGGTCCGACCCCAGTCTGCTTCATGCAAAAGCAACAGAAGCAGGAGGGAAGGGGGGAAAGAACTGAAGATGTCTATAGTATTCGGTATCCATCAAGGACTCCGAGTATCACCACTCTTTGCGGTGTTGGGCGTCAAAGGGGGGATGCGTTTACGCCTGAGCAAAGATTGCTAGCGTAGCGCAGAAGTTCGAACGATTGTCCGCGTCCTTGGCTAGGCCTTGACCACCCGAGGTGATCATGTTAACGGAGGCTTTTGTTGACAGGCCGAACCAGTTGACGTTGGTTGAATTCTCGATCTGGTTCATGTGCTCCTGGCAGTTCTGTAGTGGGACACAGGTCTGAGCATAGTTGTCAAAGAAGGAGTAGGTGCCCGAGCCGTAGTTCCAAATGCTCTCGCTATCAATGACGCGAACGGCCCAGGCCGATGTAAGTTGGCTCATATCGGGATCGAAAAACTTGTCATTCTTGGTGAAGGGAACGTTGGCAGCGGGATTGGGCTGATAATACGGCGTCTCAGTCTGGATAGCGCCGTACCAGATGTCTTTAGCACCCTGGAAATGGTATTGCGAAAGCTGCGAATGCTCAGAGGCAGTACCGTAAAGCCAGACAGGGCCTTGTGACTCGACTAGCATGCCACGACCGTTGTAGATGTCGATTTGGGCGTGATCGGCCTGGTCAAGCTCGTGATCAGCAGTCCACAGCCAAACATTCTCAAAGTAGCCGTTTGAGTTCTTTGTGATATGCAGCTGCATGAAAGACCCGATGCACTCTGGGTTGGGCGCATGCTGCTTTTCAGGGGTTTTCTTGCAGTTGGAAGACTGGAGCTTGGTGCCTTCGAACCCGCCGACACGGAAATGGACATCCCAAAGACCAGCCTGGCCGTTCTCAGCGTTAATGTTCCACTCCATCAAGATACCACCTGGAGCTGGGCCCTGTGTACTGATGATGAGGTCAGAGGCTTCGAAGGAACCCTTTTCGCCACTCTTTGTGCCCACCTGGAAACCAGGCTTAGGATCGGCCATGTTACCGAAGAACTTGCCGGTGATGAAGAACATGCTGTAGACCTCGCCAACCATCTTGATATTCTTCGCAGCAGGGATTATGATAGTCTTGGTGATGAGGTAGGCACCGTGGTCGACGTGCAGGATCTGGCCATCTTGAAGACCGTCAATCGCAGCTTGGATAGCAGCCGTATCATCAGTCGCGCCGTCACCCTTGGCACCCTTGGACTTAAGGCTGACGAAGTTCGAAACGGGAACATTCTCGTACTGCGGCTTGCTGCGCTCGAACCAACCGTTCTGGCCCAGGAGGCTCTGAGGCTTCGTAGGTGCGCCATTAACATCACCCTGAATGCGACCCTGCTGGGAACCAGCAGCCAGAGCATTACCCTGAGCCCAGGTCTGGATCTTCTTGCCACCAGGAACGATAACGTTGCCACTGGCGCCCTGAACAGCAACCGTGGAGCCAGTGAAATCGACGTTGTCCAAGATGAGTGTTCCTCCAGTAGTTGGAATGCTGTTCTCTGTGAATGAAGAGTTGATGCCGATGGGAGTGTTGACAAGCTTGCTGTCGAGCAAAAGAACAGATCCAACAGTCTGGTTCGCAGGGCTATTGGCCATGTCGAGACCAACCTTGCAGTTATTGATAAAGATACTCTTATAGGTGAAGAGCCAGTTCCAATTCTGGTAGATGGCGGTGCCGCAATCATTGAAGGTCAAATTGCGGACAGTGAATTGCTGCGACCCCATGAAGGCACCAACCGCGCCGCCATTGAATACTAGATCGGTCATGAAACCGCCGGAGCCGTTGTCCTGGAAGATACCCTTCTGATCAGCGCCAGCCTCGCCCTTCGCCATCTCGAAGACAATGTTCTGGAGGCTGGTGGCCTGGGAAACCTGCCAATGAATACCAGCAGCCGCCTTGGTGGCCGAGATATCAATGACAAAGTTTCGGACCTGGCGATAGAAATTGTTTTGATTTGTATACCAATTTGCGCCATCTCCACCAGGAATATATGGGTCGGCATCTATCAAGCCCATACCCTCGAAAGCCGCTGTTGCCTTGAGAACGGGCATATTGAGAGGGTCGCCGACGAATTGTGTGTAGTAGTACTGAATGAGGGGCTGGCTGATGATGTAGGTTCCAGCAGGGAAGTAGATGAGGGCAGGGGTCGTGGTGGATGAGTCGCAGCCCTCGCCACATCGATTGCCCTCCGCAATGATTTTGTTGATAATTGCGGTGTCATCGGTAACACCGTCACCCTTAGCACCGAGCTCCTTAACATTGCGAAATACTTTGTAGGTAGCCGGCGTAGGATTGAAAGGGGCTTGACCCTGGCGCTTGATTTGCTCAAGCCAATAGCCAGAACCGCCGGCCTGTGGTGGATTTGCTGCTTGTGCAACCGGCACTGCAGTGGAAGGTGTTGCGGAAAGAAATACGCGCAGCGTCAGAAGCAACGCACCGGCGCTAAAGGCGACCATAATGGCGGTGCGTGCGTTGAAGTTTGGTGTTGCAAAACGTCGAAAGAATGATCCAGCAGACTGGAAAAGAAATCGTCAGTTGGCCCGCAAAGACGAGTTGCCCGTTGCTAAAACGCTGTTGTTGTGCAGAATTCTGAAAGTGTGGAAGTCGTAGTTGAAGGTTGCTCGGCAACGAAAGTTGGAGAAAGGTACAAATGTTGTGAGCAGAGCTCTTGAACGATTGAATGAATGACTCAGAACAATAGGAATGGAAGACACGAAAAGGTGCTGTGAGCTGACAGGCTGTCTGCGTGAAGAAGGAGACGGTGAAAGAATGGGCCGGACGTTGTATAAGTACAGAGCATTCAAGAATGGACTTACAATAGTAACGTCACGCCAATCAGGTTTATTGAAACACGGTGTTTCAAGTTTCGAATAGCCGGGGTGTCCTCTTCGCTCTGCTGTGCTGGGCCCACCGTACCCGGCACCGAATAGATATTTTATATGCGCATCTGCATTGTGATACCAGCGCTCTTTTGACGCCTCTTCATTATGCTCTACCGCTGTCGCCGATCCATACAACCTGCCATCATTCTCTCTCGCCTCATGATATGGCCGTGTGGCCATGTCTTCCAGCCGCATTCCAGGCTGTACCGGGTGCCGAGGAAGGGTTCAGGAATGTGTGACCTTTACCCCTCGCGCCCATCCAAGATTACCCAGGGCTGCTACTAACAGGGGCCACCAAACCTGTCTTCGTAGTTGTCGAAAAGCGCGTGAAACACCAGGGCGACGTTGGCCAGTCGTGAATGTGGGTGTTCTGAGGTTCCATGCGAGGCGAGTGTTCTCTCCTTGGCTGCAGGGATATCCAATGATAGACGCCACAGCCGTCTGAAACGATCCTCAAACACAACCCTATCGATAGGCCCTCACGCGCTCTCATTCGCTTGCCGGAAAATAGTTGAGTCGCCAGCGCTTCAACAGGCCGCGGGCAAGGGACCAAGTGGTTGCGACGGGCCGCCAGGAGATCTCGCTTGGGCGCACTGCGCATCGCTGGTCTACCACAGCAAGGCTTCTAAAAGAGTCATCATGCCAGCGCATGATTCAATCACATCTATGTGCCGGACCAAGCCTCGGAACTACCAGCTCGTGCAATACGTAGAATACCTTGCTTGTGGATATTTGGTGGTGGAGAGACACTCGGCCTCCCCTTGATTGAAGCGTTTGTGCACAACGTTGCGCGAGCCTTACGGATAGAGCATAACTGCCGAAGGGCCTTCCCAAAATGCCCCGCCCCGAGCACCCTTCATAGAAACAGGTAAAGATCAAGGAACACAGTAGTCGACCAATCGTTGCCCACCGAGATACATTTCTGGTAGTTTGTTTCCATGCAGACTGGGATTCTCTTGCAATAGGGCGCCCCAGTTATGCCAGGTACAAACGGAGGGCCAGGGTACTTTTAATATACGGAGCCTAGACTTGTAGATCCTTCATGCTCAATGCAACCTCCTTTTCTATCTGTCCAATAGCAACCCGCATGTGCACACTGCAAAATCCAACAAAGCGCGAAGAGACAAGTCGAGATACTACAGCATCAGGATCCCCTAAGGACTTGAGTCCTGGACAACTTGTCTCGAAACGCAGGAATCGACTTTTGCATAGTTGCCTAAGCGACAATGGCAAAATAGCGTGCATAATCTTGAGCTTCGACAAAGTTCAGCAGAGCCTTTCCTTCTCTTAGTAGTACTTAGTAATTCAACGCAAATTCTTGTCTTAATGATCGTAGTCATGCATTGGAGCGCTCATCGGATGAATGACAAATAAACAGATAAGCTACTCGTAGGAAGGAT